GAGAGAGAGAGAGAGAGAGAGAGAGAGAGAGAGAGAGAGAGAGAGAGAAAGAAAGAAATTGGCCACTATATAAATATATTAGTTAATTACTATAGCCTAAATAATACACATTTCGACTGTAGCTTGGTCCGAAAAAGTAACCCAGTATCATAATTTCAGATCCATGTGTTTAAGTGTAAAAACGTTCAGGTGTTTAACGTGAGATCAGAGCGTGTGTCCCAGGGGAAACCCGTTGATATGTGATTTAAATGAATGGAATAGATATATGTGCGGAAGGTGAATGCTACACTGCTGATAAATAAATAAAGTGGACCTCTCTTGGAGGAAAAAAAAAAGACAACACCCCCCTCGGGTACTTCAGCTTCTTCCAGCCCATCTCTCCGCATGAGACAGCAGCTGCACCAGGCTCAAAAGCGCTCTTATTAATTGTCTTTTGTCATGCGTAATTGCTGTATTTTCAATGGTGGCCGATGCAGGACGACTTTGGAGTGCTCTCGTTTTTCTGTGCATTGGTTGCTATAGTCCCTTTACTGCAGAATTTATGCTCCACAGTCTCAGCCCGGCATTATTTCAAATATCTGTGTAACCTCCGTGTGATCGGAAAAGTTCGTCATTGTGACAGTTATAGAAGAGATAGCCGTTCGACCTGGGAAAAGGAGCTTCAGCCCATCATTATATAGACCTTACAGTTTGAGGTCACGTCCTGTGGGGCTGAAAAGGGGGAGAGTCTTTGTCGAAACTGTGGTTTATTCTATTGTTAATAGCTTTAAATGCTGCACTGGTCTTTCACACCTGCAAGGGAACTCTAATTCGATTAATAGGAACTTCAATATATATTCATTAGATGGCTTTCCCCCAATAATATATGATCACCAGCGGGATGTGAATGGGGACCATTTATTCCTACTCTGAATGGGCCTGCGTGGGACCAAAACTTCACCTGCTTCCCCTCTCAATTAGGAATGTATCCCAAACTCTGACAGAAACGAGTTAAATTAGGCGTCAGCTAATTTCCAGTGGCCCCTCCTACGTAATCCCTCCTCAGAGCCTTTCCATTTGAGCGTGCCCCCTTTAATTCACCATAAGTTGAAAGGTTCAAATAGTGCCTAATGAAACAGTGACTAAATCGTTCTCTGTCGCTCGGAGGAACCCTGTAGCTGTCTCTCAAAGCTCTCTCAGCACACAGCCGTCGGGGGTCCTGGGCTAAATGCGAGTCCCAAGGCAGGACAATCTAACCTGTCAAAGCCTTTGCCCACTTCTATATATACTTGTTCTGTGGTCTCAAGCAATAGCAGCATAATCAACCAACGTGGGACCGAAAACGCAATTAAACTCGCTTTGGACAACCAAAATCTTTTCAAAAGCGAACATTAATGGACTATTGGCTGCTCCCCGGGGGCGTTATCGGGTACCCTTTTGTGGTCACATCTAAGGAGAAATTACACTTTCATAAAGCTCACTTCATCCATTTTGAATTAGATAGCTAGATCTTGTAAATTGAGCTCTGCTTCATAATGTTCTTAAATAAAATACGCACAGTGGACATTGAGGTGTAACAGAATAAGACCACTGGTTAGGAATGACAGCTTAATAATGATAGCTGTCGTGACAGAAACACCTTAATTCGGTGAAATGCTAAAAGATAACTGAACTCACGGTTTAATGAGCCAGAGGCTAGGAAAGTACAAAATCTTTGTAATACAATAAAACAACTTTATCTTTTTTAAGGTGGAATTTTAATTTTTTGAAAAAAACATTTAATTGTGTTTAAATTAAATTATATAAGGGGGGCTTTTTTCTTCATAAAATTACAACGAATGTACGTTTGAAACCTTGTAATATTTCACTTATAATTATATTTATATTTACATATTTTTAATGGAAAAGTGAAAAAAATCATCCCTGCGAGCAGTTTTTAAATCAACTCGACTCTCAAAGACGCAAAAATCAGTTTTTCCACTTTGTATTCATTATCAGTGTTAGAAATATTGGAGATTCGGGTGAGCATGTGCATAATCAATCATAGTAAGTCAATAATGACAAATTATTAGGTCAGCTCGTCATGTTTATTTCAATAAATACAGATATACAAAGTTTACAAATTGTTACATACAGGTTTCGGGTTTACACGTCAGACCTTTACTATTTCTTGGGGTTTTCTGTGCTACACGTCACTGACTGTAAACGTATTTCCGGCAAAAACTGAAATCATTTACTGGGGATAATTAACAAGGTAGTGTAGGTGAGAACCTAGGGGGTCCACATAACATCAGTCACATAGTTGGCCGTGTTCCCAAATATTTCACAAACACCTATCCACACTGGTTTTTAAACATTAAACATTTGTTTTGAACATTATAAAGAACATGGAGCGAAGAACAATGAATATTTTCAGAACTTCTTCTCAGGCTTCATGCAGCAGATATTTGGCTCAGGGGCTGGGTGATGCCGTGATCCATAAATGCAGCAGGGCAGAGGATGCGCCAGCAGTGGAACTTGTTGAGCCGAGTTGCTCTCAGATGGGTGACACCTCTTTCTCTTCAGAGGCTGAGGCCGGAGATAGAGACTCCTCGTCTTCTGACCTTGAATAGTCTGTGTGGCCGGTTGTGCACTTGCAACCACTGTGCGCGCTCCTTTGGGTGGCTTTACCCTCCTTCTTGTGCTTCACTCTGCGGTTCTGAAACCAGATTTTCACCTGTTTCTCTGACAGGTTTAAATATGTAGCGATTTCGATTCTCCTGAGTCTAGAAAGATACATGTTCGTGGAAAACTCCCTTTCAAGTTCCAGGAGTTGCGTACTTGTAAAAGCCGTGCGCATCCTCTTGCCATTCTGTATGTGGTTACTCTCGGAGGCACCTGTTAGAGGAAACAAACATTTTTGAGTCATGTTTAAGTTCTGTACTTCGTCTGTGAATGCGCGCTCAATCGAAGACAGGTGAAATATCGCGCGTAAATCGTCGTGCGTAAAAACAAAGTGCATACCATTGATCTTACTGCTACAAAGTACAACACGAGTTCTAATAAGTACAC